CTACTGGTGCTCCCCATATCTCCTTATGTACGGCCCCCCCTGGTGCTCCACCACATCTGCATTCTTGTCACGTCCATGGACACATGTATAGTAAGTAATCTTCTAAATGAAGCAGAAAGAATGTGTAAAATGACATTGAACAACCCAACCAGCGTCTTTAAAGTTGATTTGAATTTGCAGTTTCGTCTAGAATACCATCTTCCAAGCATCACATCACTAATCAGCAAACCATTTTTATTCACCTTCTCATTTAGACAGGATTTTTTCCATGAAAATCAGGAGCACACAAAGGATATACGATTCATTTTGTTGATGCTTATGTAAGCTTGGGTATTCACACGCAATTTGTGATAAGGCGACGGAATTGTTTGGTAACATGTGTCCCATATGGCACTAACCAAAACCGTAAGAGCTACGAAATTGGTTAAGAAGAGAAAAGTCAGTCGATCAGAATTATGCTTTAAATCGTTTAGGAAGAAGGTTTCAGAACCTTGTGAAGATATCACGCGATCCAAGTATTCGAGTATTGAAATTGAAGAAGTTATTTAAAAATTCTTCAGTTGTTTTGGCTACAACGTTTTCATTTGATGTTTTTTTTCGGCTTTCTGGATGTGCATCTGTACCACCAATAGCGCCAATCTAAGTACTCAATTTTCCAAATTATTTGAAAAGTAGGTCAATAAAAAACTTAATTTTATAAAATATCGATGATGTCACGTCCATAGTCATAAATGTATTCAGAGCCGACTAAATTAGATGCAGATATATAAAAACAGCGTTAAATTCTGTTGTTACAGTGTTCGTAATTGGTACAATTTTTTTATAAAAGTGCGATTTGTAATAAAATATTTTTAAATATAGGAAATATAAAAATTGTTAGGAATTACTTGAGTATTCATCGAAAACGATACTTTTATCAAATAGAATAAATAACTGAAGTGCTTTTTCTCTTAACTTTTTCATCAAGGTATGACTCTCAGTTTTTGTCGCCTTCTGGCTTGCAGCACCAGTAAATGTTTGTAGTGCCATTTTATTAACATTTTGATTTGATCGAATATTCCCAATCAACTACATATTTCGATATTGTGCCCTCATTATCTCCAGCACTGTCTGTTTCGCTTCTTTTTCAGGGACACAATCAAAATCTACAAGTTGGTTATATTAAAGACGCATACAATTTTGCAAAACTTGCATTAATTGAGTTCTGAAATTGCTATTTTTTTGTAAAAGGAACAAGCTAGAACCAACTGTCTGAATTATTAACATATTAAACTACTCATTTCACCATTCGCTTTAATTCAATCAAACAAGTTTTCATATTCGCTTTAATGTTTGAATATAGAATTTTAATGTTATTCGCTAAGTTTGCTAGGTGTTTTTCGCCGTTTACATTTAAATTAAATTCTTGTGTCGATTTTTGATTGATATTGCAATAAAAACGTTTGTTTGAATTTGTTTCAACTCGGGCTGTGTGATGTGAGATTTTTGCTCACAAAATAGCCACCAATTTTAGAGCCGTGTTGAGCGCCTTTCCTCTATGGGCCTTTTCTCACAAGCGTGTAAACTATATTTACCGATTCAGGTTTTGTGAAATTATTAATCATAAAAATTCAGAAGTGTTGTATAGACATGAAGCAACGAAAAAATGTAAAGACGTTTTAAGAGTTTGTAATTTGAAGAAATGGTGAAAAATATGTAAATATTTTGCGTACCTTTTGAAAAGTTGAGAAGCATTCAAGTTTTATGAAAGTTTGCTGTAAGTTTTGTGAACAGTCGTTCCGACCATTTTCAATTTCTGTCAATAACCGAAAGGTTTCACCTTTTATTTCGCCCCTTCTAAACATTTAATAATATCTGACCAGATGTAAGAATGCTTTTTCCATTCGGTTGCCTCAGAAATTCCTAACATGTAGAAGTTGGAAACACGTACAAAAATTTGAACATAAGTTGGAATTTGCAAAATATTGAGTTTTCCATGCTTCTGTTGCACGTTCATTGCTGTTAACTGGCTGCTGTGTTATTTTGGTAAATTACAGCTCTATTAAGTAGCACTACAATATCTTATTTACTATATTAATTAATTCAGAAGCTATTATTGAATGTTGGGAAGGAAATTAGTTTTTCTTTTGATTGAATTTATATAATTTAAGTTAATCAACCGTCGGCTCAAATCACTCAGATTGTGTGACCTTTGTGTTCTATAAAATTTGTTTCTTTTTAGGTGCGCCTCTCGTTCCTCCAGTGCCATCATTGGCAAACTGCCTAGCGCCTCCCCCATTCGCTCCCGCCCCCACGCCGGTGCCAGTCACTGGTCATCATCAGCACTACGGACTGGGACCACGTCCTGAATTAGCCGAACTTGAACTTCTGCAACGCGGAGATGCGCATCAAGCTCATCTGACTCCCCATCCAGCTTTACATGTACCCCAAATTCAGGTTTGTATTCAAGCTTTGCGGATACGTGTAATCGGAAGCCAATTAGTTTTCTTCATAGAAAACTAAGGGGCGTTAGTATATTTTTTTGAAGCTAGAGTAACTAATGGTCTACTAAATGTATGCATGATTTGTTGGGACTGGGAGTTTGAAACAAATTTTCCAAAATCAATTGTAGATTTTTATTAGACACTAAAAAGTACTGGTGTTGAAGGTGGTTGTTTAAATGTAAACATTACTACGGGTTTTCTAGCCCATAGTACTGTTTCTTAGAATCAAACTGCACAGGTACCGGCATCAGCAGCTTCGCTCTTCCTATCTGAAGCCCGTGGAGGTCCGTTAGAACTGCTGAGACAACGTGGACCCACACATGCCCGACTAGCCCCACCTCGAGCTCATCGCTGGCATCATAATCCCATTTTGACTCCAGCGAGATATTCCGGATTTCTTCTACATTTCCTTGCTATGTTCTCAAATCCGCCAATGTCGCCGTTCAGTCAAACCGATTTGAGCAGTTCAGACAGCACTGAGACTGAGGTAAGTACAATTTTCATAATTTTTTTTCGGTTATTTATACAGAGTAATTAGTTTATACAGATTTTTGCTGTTAAAGACTTACCCGCAATAATAATAGCAAAGTTCAAAAGCTAATAACTTTCAATATACATATACATACATATACAAATATGTCATCATGTTTTAACCATTTTTTTACATATTTTGTTCGGTGCTCTTGGGGATGTTTGCTTGCGATTTGACGAGAAAGTTTTGTTTTCTTTTGCTTGGTTTGGTCTGCATACTATCCTCCAGGGTACTTACGGTTACTTCGTTTATTAGCGGCCCGGATGATGGCGTAATTGTCGAAAGCGCTTGGCCTTAATTATATTACATGCACACTTCATTACAACAATCTTATTTGATTGCATTTCATCCAGTGTGTATACACCAACTTCTTCGTGTCCTAATAATTTTGTTTAAAGAGCTTAATACGTTCGTTAATTACAGGGACACGAATTTTAAAACACTCTGTACTGTTTGATCAAACGAACTGTAGACTATTTTATATGCGATGCTTTGGTTATTTCAAAAAGTGTTTTTGTTTTTCAGAATTATGAAGCTCTATTGAATTTGGCTGAACAGCTAGGCGAAGCTAAACCCAGAGGTTTAGCTAAACTGGAAATAGAACAGCTAGTGAGTTACAAGTTTAATGCCGACACTCACGAAGGTGATCAAACATCATGCGTGGTATGCATGTGTGATTTTGAAGCAAGGCAAATGCTGAGAGTACTGCCTTGCGCCCATGAGTTTCACGCAAAATGCATCGATAAGTGGCTCAGAGTAAGTAGCTGCTTATTTGTTCCCATTTTCATCTACTTATATTTATTTTTCTTACTTTCAGTCGAATCGAACATGCCCAATCTGTCGAGGAAACGCCTCCGATTATTTTAACAATAACGAATGAGGCCGAGTGTCTCATTCCAACAAATAAGTAACGCACTAGCAGTAGTATAATCTATCCCGATTAAATGTACAAGTAAGGAATGTGGAAATCTTCTTGAGGTGCCATTAGTTGCCACAGTTGCCAGTAATGTAGAGTATATATCAAGTAAAACTCCGCTATAATTCTGGAATTTCATATTTTAAACGACTTATATGGGATAGCTTGATTCTTTTCCTTATTATATTATATTTTACAGACGCTTTGAGCTTTTTTCCTGAAAATAAGAGAGCTGGTATTTGTGATTAATTTCAGTGCAATGTTTATCAATATATCGATTAATAGCAAGTCAATAAATCAAAATGCACTAGTTAAATTAGCTGAATATCATGTTTTTTTTTATTCTTTTGTTAGACTCAGGGCTGTATGCACGGTAATGCTTTAAACGTAATTCAAAGTTGTGTCGGTTAAACTGGACGAATTTCATTGCGTTTACGGAATTATGGTCCTAAGATTACAAATCCGAAAAATCCAATTATCTCAATATTTGAAGGATTTTGTCAACGGTTTCGTTAGAAATTTGAATTTTCTTTGCACAACTTAACTTAGTCAGAAAAACTGTTTCGTACTAGCAGACAAAAGCTCACTAGCATACTTGTTATATCCCAAATGCCGTTACTTTCATGGGCTGTATACAGTATTTTATAAAAAGTTCGTATTTCAAATTCGCGTATGTGCTTTGCTTAGTTTTCCTATCTATCTTTAGTATAATATTTGTTGTTATGGCCTTTCCATACTTAGTATAAGTGTTTTTTAGAACATTCTAAAATCGTAGTTAATTTCCCCAGTATCTTTCTAGTCTCATTTGTGGCTAGGCAGTTTTCCCAGATGTACATACTATATTCTTGTCTCACACTCGACTTCTTTCGTTTTTCATAGTTCTAAGTTCTTCAACGCTTTCCTACCCATATATGGTATTACTATATTAACAGTTGTCTGCTATAAAGCTAAATTTTCTATTTGCCAAAATACCAAGTCATTAATATTTTCTGTCGCAACAAGTTAAATTCGTTTACGGTAAATCGAATCGACATTGCTTTTGCATCGCAACAAAACCATTAAAGGAGATCTAACTGTTTAATCTGTATTTGTATCTTTCTTACCGACATGCATATTAGTATCGAAATGTCCTTTTGCGGACTATAGGGCGTTCTCTAAAGGATTGTTCTCATTTATACGAAAAGGAAACTTGTGATATTACACATTCGCATTGTATTGGCTTAATCGGATCACCCACAACTCATCCCAATAACGTTAGATTGTCAATTACAACAGTTATAGGCTGTGTTTGATACCAAACATGTATTGTTCATTTAATGATAATATAACACGTCCAATTATTTTCAACTATTTGCATTAAAAAGAATATGTTTTCAACTATTACAGTGTATCTCGCTCCTCATATAAGTCGATTTTTCATCCATCTAATCAGGCTTAACGGTCTTCTCAATCAATGTACTAGATATAATTCTGTTTTTCAACAAGCAATTGTCGCATATACTTCATGTGGTTCCTAGGAATAGATGCACTCCGTTTCATGTTGCACTCGAGTGTGTTGTTTTCTACTTTTAATATATTGAATAATTGCTTTACGTAAAACGGTTATTTTCAGATAAAAAGCACGACATTTCTAGTGTTTTGTAAAATAAAATTATATCAGTATCGAATTCGATATACAAATCAAAGTATTGATAATGAACGAAATTAGACTGAAGCACTAATTGGTGATGTCTTTAATAGAACTATTACAATGTCAAAAATGTATTTACTGAAGCGAAATGAACATTAAGATGCCTTGATCATATACCAATTGCTTTTGAAAACAGATCTGCCTTATTTACACCAGCAAACTTCATAAATTTTGCCTGTTCTGATAATTTTTCACTTGGATGTGTAAGTGTTTTTATATTCGCTTCACAAGTTAACTACCTCTAACATGATGAAGTCTGCAATCATTTTTTAATCGAGGTCCCCACGAAAATGTTCTTAGCTAGCCTTTAATATATTAAATTTACATATACTGTAAATTTAATACTTAAACTTAAGTTAAAGGCACCCATTTGTTTTGAATAGAGAACTTATGAGTTTATAAAGTGAAATAATTTGTTGTCTCCCTTAATAGCTTCTTATATTGGTTTTACTGCATCAAACTTTGAAAAGTAACAGTTTTCAAGTCGAACAAATTGATTCAAAACGGATTCAACGGTTAGACGACGAGCCTGAACGAATACTCACTCCATTAAGACTTTCAATTTTATAATATTTATCAAGGCAGCTTGTGAACACATTTGTAGAAGACTAAACAAAAATTAAAAACTTGTAAAGGTATTTTGAGCGCTATAATGGAATCAATTGGAACTGGCATTAAACAATTTCAGTTAAAGTGATACACTTGTTTTAAAATGAGTTTGAGCTAAACTTGAGCCAAAAATTAAATTTATTGATTAATATATAAGTATTTCAATAAACTTTGGGGAAAAAAGATCGTGAGCTACAACCAAACTTTTGATTAATTGATCTAATTTTTCATCCTTATTTACAATTCGATTTAAAAAAAAAAAAAAAACCAAGGCATCCTAGGAACATTCCGCGGGTACCAGTGTAGAATTTAGTATTAGGACACTTAGTTCGGTTTCTAATTGTTGTGCGTATAATGACTACATAATAGTTAGTACCCTGTATGTGTTATTATTTGTTAAAATAATTTTGTTATTAACATTGAATTAGCTTATGTACTGTTTTGCTTTAGCTTTAAAGGGTTTTATGTTAATTTGTCCGTACTCTTCCGAAACGCGTTAACTTTTGTTGAGAAGTTTGTTATATCCGTTATCCATCGATTATTGATTTTTAATTGTTTGCTTCTGGTATGCTCTAAAAATCTTGAAATCCTCAAAAATGTTATTTTTGTCATTCCTTAATATTATTAACAACTGCAATAAGTCAAGTGCAATTACGGATTTTAAAATTTTTAGTGTTCTCTATAATAGGAACTGAGTGTATTGTTTAGTTAGTGTTCCAAACTAAACCCTAAATAGTATGTTGGATCTCCCTAATTACTAACAAATCTTATAATAAGCTATTCTTATACTATTTCAAAATACCAATATTCTTTTTCGTAGAATTGTGATACTATTTTATATTTGATAGATCGGGTCAAAATTTAACACCTGAAACCGAATTATAACATAATTCCTTCTTATCTTGCCTTTTAAGGACCAAGCCACTTTTGATTTCAACTTTGAACGACTCAGCATATTTATAGGTGAGAAATAGTGATACTTAGCGTGAAAGAAAAATTATTTTCTACTTACTTACGCACTAACGTATGTGAGAAATGTAAGTGAACATTTACTAATCTTCTACCAGAAATAATGTTTCCTCAAATTTATAAAATTGTCCGTCCACTACCAACATTTTACTATATTAAATAGGTCCTGAATAATTTGTCTGACCACGTACCAAAAAAAAGTAATTAATTATTTTCAGTTATATAAAAGTGAGCAAAGAATGGTATCAAAATTCTACAGAAACGAGTATGATCCAAGTAGTTAATATATTGCACCTGGAAAGCCCTTCATAGTCTATAATATGAAATTCAACATGTAGCCGGAAAAGGAAAAAATTAAAATTATGTAATAGGTGTGCCTTTGAATTGTACAATTTACTAGTTTATTTATGTCTTTCACATTTCCAAAAATGTTATTATCAAATTAAAGTAATTGTCTTAATTTCTATTTTTTAGATTTTTTAAACAGAAGATATTGCATTCTCTAGTTCAATGGTCAGTACTAATATTTATTAAGTTTATACAAATTTTCAAAACATAAATAATCCAATTTGTAGAAAACAGGCAATCTATTTTTTTGCAACAATGCATCTATGCCGTTGTAAATATTAGTACTGTATTTAGATCTGCAGACCCTATGAGCATACACACTTTTTTTGTATTTTTGCATTGTAAATACTAAACAAATATTTATTTCATTATTCTGTATTTAATTTTGCAGTTGATCGTTTTAGTTGCATTACTGTGCCCATTATGTATTTCAGTTTTATTTCAATTAAAGGTGCAAAAGTGTTACATATCTGGTATGATTCATATTATTGGAAAAGCAATATCTTCGCATTAACGGGTAGTTCACATTTTCAATGTTATAATAAAAACAACTTTTATATAGGTTGTATTTTTGTGAATGTGAATACGTGATATTTTGCTTTTAGTGAAAAATTTAACATATACGTACTAAAATGCTTATAGTGTTGTATGAGCTCTCATTTCAATAAACTATAAACAGTTAGAACTATTTTTGCTACTCCCAAAAATTGTTTAGTACTCTTAACTGAATACACACAGCAATGGGCTTCTTTTCTTGCAATCGGCCTTCTGAAACCCGAAGAAGTCAACTCTTATCTCGCAGAACTTATGGTAACGTATTCATTGAACTTGCTTTTAAATATCGCACTACGATTTATTCTATGAATTTGATGACATATTTATGTTATTTGAAATATAAAAAAACAAAAATATCTTAACAGTTTCTAATTAACATATAAAAACAATTCAATTATACACCTGTGTGTTCTTCTGTGGTATAATAAAACACACACTGGAACGTTCATTACCTTAGTGAACAGAAAATTATTTGCTATGCTGTTATTTCGAAACACCCACAAGAGCTGGTCGCAACACTCGGTCGTGTAATTTGTATCCAATCTTTGAAACTACTACGACAGTACCTGCTGCTTTTCCCTCCACTTCCTGAAAAGATACAAACACATATATAAATGCAAATACAAATTCAATTAGATGTAATGATGATACAGTTATTTTACTTTTGCTACTTCAAATATCAAAAGCTGTTCAAAATTGTGGCAGGAGGGCATTAAAACATTTTATGAGTAAAGAGTACTTTTTTAAAATTTCTACAAAAACCAAAGGCTATTCAGTTGTTTTAATTATTATTGTTAATGGTATTGACGTCCCGTGTTGTCGATCTAGCGATGAATTCTTAATTCTCGGGACTTCGATTTTTTTTTCCACCGCCCTGGACATTTCTCGCATTCACCCTTAAAATAATAGTGCAGAGAACAAGTGCTTCAAGGTACGAGGGAGGTCAGGAAAAAGAAATCGACCCATAGAGGAAATAATTTATTATTTTGTTTTCGCTCTGGATCGACTTGGAAGTCCCGAAGGAAGTGCACACTGAAGCAGTATCCAAAAACATCGCCACGCCAAGCGGTCATTTAGTGACTCCGAGATCGAAAACAAAAGTCCTGTTTTAGACTAAATGAAAACTGTTGAGCCAACAAAGGTAATATTGGGCGCGACACGAGAAAAACCTTCCACCGAGAAGCAATTGTGCGCGAGGCATAGACTCGACCTAATTTTAGTTGTTTTTTATTGTTATTTCCTTTATTTGTGGTGCTTGTCTTGTTAGAAGCTTGGCTTCTGAAAGACTCCATCAAAGGGGGATACTACTAGTTCCTGACATTCCTCTACGTGATTACTGATCACGTTTATTTTTTTACTTGTTTCTCCTGCGCATCCACCAACTGGTCCAAAATGTAGGGACGGAGTCTAGTCCACCCTTACAATCTTTAACACGTCAATTTTATTTGTAAGGAGGACACTTTAAATGAATATTTTTAGCGTTCTTGTTAACCCCCTAGGAGGGAGGGGTAGATGTCACCATTAGAATCTTCAATGGGAATTTAGTCTAGTGGCACATAGTTTTAAAAGGCATTCAATTCTCTTTTCAGTAGTATCCTACTTTGTTGCTTTTAGTCCAGCGGTTTCAGAAGGTATTCTCAGATTGGTTAAAAAACCGTTACATGAATACATTTTAAAGCACAATTTCATCGAACGTATCTCCAACGCTGTAATCTTTATATGAACGAAATCACAATAAAACATCACGTAATCATACTATATCGAATGCATTCAATTCTTTACGAAAAAGATTCAAAACGAAGGAAAAAGTTATGAATTTATATGGTGGCAAATGGGGCTTACCTGTTGAAATAGAGCTTCATGGAAATTGGGGTCGAACTTTTCATTTAGTGGATTAACTTGCTCTAAACCATGTCTTTTAAATACACTTTTCAATTGTGCCTCTGTCATAATCAAACCCTCATAGAGGCCTTTTAGATGCGGATTACTGTCTTTGATTTCATCTTTTGGCACCGTTTCTGTGGCCTTTCCCAGCACATCAGCCACATCTAATAGATCCTTACAAAAGCCTTGAATGCCATAAATTTTTGCCTCGCCTATCTGCTTCGTTAACCGTTGCCGTAAGTTTTCGCCGTCTGCCAAAGATCTTTTATATTTATCCTGCAATATATTAGACTCTGAAAGGTTCGCAAATAATGAAAAATCATGTGCTTTACCAGCAGCTCGGAGTTTTTCTCTGTCAGCTCAACAATCTGCTTATTGAGTTTCTCTATTTCTACATTTGACTTATCATCGTTAGCTGATGGTGATGTGTCCGTTTCGGATTTTTTCGTCTCCTCCGCTGTGTTAAATTTGATTTTCGAAATCATTAGGCTTCTACAATAGATTAATTCGAATCGAAGAAAACCCATGTAACTACATTACTCACCTGGAATTAAACAGAAATGATTCGTTTATACTTTGGCCAAATCTTAAGGCACTTCTTACACCAATCAAAGCCATTTTTTAAGTTTTTAGAGTTTGGTGTTGGAGGAATAAGCTGAAAAGTGCTGGAAACGTTCCAACTGTGAGGTTATATTACTTAAATTGTGTGAAATGACGTAAATTCAAAGTCAAAATGTGTCAGAAACAAAATTTCTTATAACTATAGAAAATTCTGAGATTTGGTATGTCCTACATAAAAACTATGTCTTGTCTTTTACTTACAAGTTTTAAATCAACTTTTTACGTTAATATTTATGCTTTTTTAAATTAACCTACATTTTTAATTGTTGTTGTTAACTTTGCGTTAAGCCGTAAACAATTGCTTTTGCTAATGTTACGAGCAAAATGGCGGCATTGTTATTTATAGTGACCCGTAGTAAATTCTTTTATATTATAGAACAACCAGAAAGGTGCTTAAAAGCCAATATATTGTAAATATTATGATTATGAATTTTTTATTAATAGCAACTGTCTAAATAGTCTCCATTTTTTCAAAAGTTACCTAAATATGGTTTAGAGATCCGATAAATCGGTCGCCACAGTTAAAACATTGTGGTTATAAAATGTCAGAATCCGTAAACACCATTTTGAAAGGTTAGCAACTTGGAGGAAGTATCGAATACTCCTCAACTTTCTCAAACATGCTTCTGCTGCGAATTTAGTGTTTCTTTCATAGTGTTTTTTAAGTTTATTTGCTTTTTCTTCAGAATCTGTCTCCGCGTTCAAATCACGAAATTTAACAGATTTATTCAAATTTACCCACTTTCAATCCGATTTTCTCAAAGATATTTTGAAATCAACTTTGCTTAGTAATATTAATAACCAAATATCTTATATAATGTCGGAGCCAGGAATTTTACATCCTCCTCAAATATCGGAAGACATGTTGACTGATCAAGAAGCAAATGATTTACTAGACAATGGAATACTGGTGGAAACTAATGGAAGGTAATTCTAGTTTACACTGCTTTGAACAATTTGCGTTTCAATGGCATACTTTTCGTTCCAGTGTCATTTGCATGTCGCTCAATGAGGCATTATCCTCGGACATGAACTTGTCTTCGGAAAGTCTCCGAAAAGTTGCTACCCAGCTAATAATCCAGCAAAATACCGGAACTAAAAAACCGGCTATAAGAATGACTTGCGACAGCGATGGGGGATTTTCAAGCGAATGTAGTGACAGCACTTATACAACCACTGGTTCCAGCACCGGTTTCCCTTCGTTTGCCAAATTTTCCTCATTCTCCAATGAACTTCATTTAAACAGCATGCTAAGACCCAAAGGTTCGTTTCTAAATAAGCATCTATTTATAGGATTAGCAGCTTTAGTTGATGATTTTTAAATGTCCAGAGCGAGTGATGGAAGAAGTAGAATAAAGAAACTTTTTCGATTGACCTCAAATCCGACTTTCGTTTCTTAACGGGGATCGGTTTATAAACCCTAATCGGTGGCAATTCTCGTTCTTGAGACTCGACTCGTACTTAAATGCAAATATTTGGGTACCACAATCACTTCAAATAATAACATGGCCCAGGAAACAAATAATAGCATACAACGTGCTAATCGCTGCTATTTCGACCTACGATGTGTAATAAACTTGAAAAACATATCCCGATACACGAAGATTACAATCTACACAACAATTGTAAGACCCATTATGGCGTTTGCCTGTGAGAGATGGAGTAACAAAACAGAACGAAATTCGGCTTACAATTTCAGGAAGAAAAATAATTAGGAGACTATATGGACCAACAACAGTATCGCTTAATAACAATAGAGAGCTGGAACAGTTGTATAACCAACCAGGAATAGTTAAAGTAATGAAATCAGAAAGGCTTGAATGGGCGAACGGAATCAACGAATTATTAAACGGTGCGGTAAGAGAATCCAGGCGGAAAATACCCCTCGAAAGACCAAAATTGCGCTGGAGAAATAACATTACATGGGATTTAAGAACACTAAAAATATCGATGATGCAAAAGATCGCGAAATATGGGGACATATTGTAAAGTCAGCCAAGACCCACCCTGGGTTGTAGAGCTACAGAGATGAGATGAGATGTTGACTCATACTAATGCATGGTTTATAAATACTATTCATGTGATTCAATTTTTCTTTTCAGCTTCGCTAATATCGCTTCGCGTGGTTGCATGTGTCTGAATTATTTTCAATAAAAAATCGATACGCCACTGGTCTTGTTTAAAACAAAAACTATTTTTCAAGCTGCTATTCAGTACGGAAGAAAAACTGTTTTGATGTAGAAAACAGTGGAATCAATCTATTGAATAACATATTTGCGATTGAATTAGTAACTTTTGCTGATTGTATTAAAATGAATAATACTACCCGCAAATAGTATGAATTCTATTTTTTTTCATATTTAACTGCATAGCAGATTTCGTTGTCTGTACTTAAATTAAAATATCTTTGAATATTCTTTAGTGTTGATTGAGTGCGTTTCCGAAAAAAAGGCTAAAAAAACACTAAAAACTCTTGCAAGGGATGCATCGGTTTTCCAAACAACATGTTCCAGCCACCCTGTTCTTGTGGCATATGCGATAAATTACTGGCCAAATGCTGTGTAATGAAGAATAATGCGAAAACAAATTGACTACATTCCAAGCAACGAAAGGCTTCGGAATGCTGAGAAATTCTTAAAATTGTTTTCTGGAGCAGATAATGGAATTTCTATTCTAATTCTAAAAATTAATTCTATTTTAATTTAAAAAAAGCACAGAAATTTTGATGCAGCTTTTTGCATAAGTGATGGCGAGTGTAACACAAGTCATCTAAAACCAGTTGAAGAATTGAGAAGAACGCTGTTGAATTCGTTGTAAATGATGTGAAAGATTTCTAAAAGCTGGGAAAAGTGAGAATGATGACAGAAATCGTTGATTTTAAAATTCAAAGTAGCACAAAGTGAATACTACAAAGTGTAAAGGAACATATAAATAATACATATACTTAGGAAGGAAAGGAGGAAAATGAGTAGCCAGAGGGAAAGCAATAAATCGTTCAAATTCCTCAATGATATCGGGAAGCTGTGCCCAAAAAAGTGTCGCTCTGAAAGCATATAGATGGTAATGCTGTAACAATAGAGAAAAGGAAACTGATGTGGAAACAATATGTGCAGGAACTTTTTCATGATGAGCGCATGAGATGAGTCATGGATCTGAAGAAGCGAGCATCAGACCAGATATTTTAAATTTGAAAAACGCCATAAGACATCTTAACAATGAAAAAACTTCAAGTGTGACTATATCATCATCATCTACGATGATGTAAACTGTAAAATGTAAAGAAACTGATGTAAACGATAAAAGTGACAGATTTCTAAAAGCTACAAAAAGTGAGAAAATTGAAAATTTTGGAACAGAAATCAACTTAACGGGAACCTCCGAAAATACTAGAAGCTGCAAAAGAAAATGTAAAAAATACTGTTGCGTTGGGGGGAAACCGAAAAGCCGAAACATTCACCGATTGATGACGCGGGAGATTTGGCCGCACTTTGGTCCATATAGGTAGTTGAATTAGAGTTGGTGGGTGAACTAGGTTTCACCACCGTTGTCCCCTGTAGCGCTAGGTTGTCCCCACCAGAACGGTGAATCTCATTATTGGTCGGATTCATAATGGGTGGTAACTTTATAATTAATAACACAACACAAACCTTCTGAAAAAATAAGGTCACCACTTGGGAATACCCCCTGGAAATACTACGCCACACACTATAGTTCGTAAAATCGTTCGTAAAAGTATTTCTTGGCTCACCGGGTAGGATGTCCAAGCGCGCTCCCGAGAAAACAATCGGTATCGCGACGAAACCTATCACACACTTGCAGGGGAATCCAATTTTGCTGGGAACCCATTTTTGAGCTGATTAACAATTGCCAGCAGGGCAGAAGCGCACGTGTTTTGCAGGGGAATCCAATTTTACTGGGAACCCATTTTTGA